TCCTTGCCTCTTCGGCCTGTCGTCTGTCATCTTCCGTCAGCGTATGACATCTTATGAGTATCAGCTCTTCCATCCTTCTGAACATCTTCCACATATCCGCAGCGTTCTCCTAAAAAAATCGCAAACTAACAGGCTTGTTGAAAATCAATGATGAGCAACGGTGAAGAATGGCACCTCTTGCTCAACTAATCCTTTTCCAGATTGGATTTACCTCCAAACTACTTGAAATAGCATAGCAACTCAAAACTTGCCTGTGTGACCATAGGCCCGTAATCCTCTTCTTGGCAATTATGATAGAAAGCGCCCGATGTCATCTCATCATTAGGCGTCACAGCACAGTGTACGATGGACTCTATGCCCTAAACTTAAATATACTCAAGAAGCACTTCAAAATAGAGGACAAAGCATCCAGCGATGATCACACTTTTAGGATTTGCCACAGATTCCGCTTCTATTCAAAACTGCAGAAACTTTTGAATGCGGTAAGGGTTACATAAATGCGGAAGCTAGCCAGTGTCAGCGTTCTTATCCTCCCAAAGATTTCCAATCAACGATTTCACAGAGATAGAAGACTCCGTCGATCTGGAAACAGTTCGACGTGGAACTTGACCCCGGACCGGCGCCTGGTTGACGGCACCTTTTTCCACTACACCACCGCCGCCCCGTAGTAATTCACCTTAAGAGGGTTCCACGATAAGGACGAAGGTCGAAGAACGGGAAACTTACCTAGTGTAGAAACAGGCGACCTCCTATGGATGTGCACCGACACGCAATTCTCATTGAAGGGATGCTCGGCGATCTAGCATGGCCTTCCCCGCGGCGCTATCGACGCAGTTGCCTCCTTCTCGCTGTCGGAGTCTCTAGCCGCTTAGCAGAGAGAGCGTGGGCGTTCAGGAGGGCAGCACCGATGAGCCGCATCAATGCGCAAATCAACGGGAGGAAGTCCTTTCTTGTGTTCTTGCCATTCTTTCAGTTTTGTTCTTTTCATCGTGAAATCCGCCTTTGAGAAGTGAAAGCAGACCCCATCGATAACTTGAAAAGCACGGAGATGATTAAGAGAAGCTAACCTGATCCAAATTTTTCGAAACCATCCAGATGACTGGCGCTGCCAATGATCGCAGAAGCCAGTGAGTTTCACGACCCAGCTCAGTTCCTCCAACAAACCCGGGACGAATGGCATAGACCTTTGTTGAGCAGCGATTTGCCGTTAAACGCCTGAGTATGGAGACTTTACAGTCAAGATAGTGGATTAAGGAAATACCCTAGTCCTCGAAATCAAATAAAAAAACCTAAACAATTCCCGGCTTATTAGCAAAATGTGCCCAGTTTATGACCTGATAAAGGGTGACTACTCACGATAAGAATTATCCGTATCAAAAGTAGTCAATTAGTATATAAATTCCGTACTGTGTAGGTGCCGAACTCTAACCATGTAGGCATTGGCCAACTGTGCCTCCAGGGAGCCCCCGGGTGCGTACGCAAATTTAGCCCTGATAATTCCCAGTCGTGCCTCACGGGACCATACAGCTGACGAATTTGATGGCTAATTCACCGTGCAACAATCTGACGCCTCCTCTTATTTCCCAGACTTTAACGCATCACAGATGACAAGGTTCTCAGCAAATCCGCTAGGTCTAAAGGAACTACACTCTAACACCTTTACTGACAGTCCGGAGGATACATCTAAGATTTTCCGTCGCCTATTCCAGCAACATACAGGCAACATCTGTTCACTAACACGTAATGTCCGAATGGCATTCGTGAGCGAAATTGCAAATCGGCTCGATCGCCTATTAATACGGGAGAAAGGCTGGAAGCTGAAATACGGTCTTCAACTTTGTTGTCCGCTTGCCGGTCACGCTTGGCAGGACATATTGACTGCTGGTACTTCGGACACTGCTAGGCTGCGACAAGTAGAGTCGTGCATAAAGGCCGTTGCTACTGGAGCGTAGCGTGAGGGAAAATTCATTATCGGTGATAGCTTGAGAATCATCTCACATCATATCAAAAGAAGTAGTGAATTCGGATATTCACCGGAAGAACTTAGAGTAAAATGAATGTGCCTTTGCATCTTCTCTTACACATCCCTCTTCCCTCCACTAAGTGTAACTACGTGTCGAAGAAACCTAGCCGCCAATACGACGCTCCCTTGGCTTGAATCTTTCGATTCCCTTCCTATCAAAGTCCCATTTCCGTAATAAACCTGAAAACTTGGAGACTCATTGCGGACCGCTCTCAAATTGAGACTCCTACTTGTCCACAAATACCCTTCGGCCTAAACTAAGTCACTATTCTTTCGACCACTGCCCCTAAACTGAGTCCCTCTTCTTTCGAACTCAATGTAACTCCTCTCTAGCGTTGAGAAATAATCGACGTTCACACTGCTTTCACCTCCGCAGCAGTGCCCCTGCTGAAACCACATAGCCTAATGATACATGGATAGATGGCTATCTGACACAGCACGTAGCATCAGATGAGCTAAACGTCTTACTTTCCCTCCACCTCCTCTCAGATCCCTGAGAACAGCATCATCAAGGAACTTCAGAACCGCTTCTTGCCAGTCGCTTGCTGGTCTAAGCAAATCAAAGGCAGTAGTTATTGAACTGGCGCGTTATTTGTTTGAAAATCGGACAAAAAAGCGAAGAAGAACGTTAGTGAAAAAAGCAAAAAGCACCGTAGAGAACATTGAAATTTTCCCTTGTGAGGTCGACCGTAGTACAATGAAGAGACACAGTGCAGGAGGGAGAGTTAAAAACGCAGGAGAGCACACGAGAGGGTGCCAACGCTACATTCGCCGCGATTAACATGGTTGCAGCGGTTGCAGCGCTGGAGCGAAGGTACTGGGTCCATTGTCGTGCACTTTCAAGTCGCAACAAAACCACCACTCCTGTACAAAAGGTTCTCTGCTACCTCAAGGAGAGAATTTCTCTTAATTCTAATCGCAACCTGTGCCTTTAATCGGGCAATCAAGACCGGTTACACTTCATAAGAGCCTTCTTCAGATATGAAACAGTACATAAGTAAGAATATGAACTCAAAGATACCTCAAACGCGAGTCCCATTACACCAGCATTGTTAATAAGCACATCGATACGGTCGAAATGCTGCTTTATCTCATTGCAGAAAGTCAGAATTGATTGGTAACAAGCCAAATCCAGCTGGAATACCGGATATTCTTTAGTACCCATTCGGAGCATTGACGTACTACATTATCATGAAGCAGCTCAGCGACTCACAGTAAAGAGGTAAAGTCGACCTTCTGGTGACTCCTCGCTACTGTCTAACTGTGATTGCACGGCCTCTAGAGCGGCTCGTCCACGCACCTCATCACGACATGTCAGGATAACGGTTGCACCCCTTATGAAGAGATTTTTCGCTGTGTGAAGACCTGAAAGCACTCACTTTGGATGGAGTCGGTTCATCGTTTTGTTGAAGTTGCACGATTTGAACGAGATTTTTCGCCGCGAATGGTGGATTTGGCGATCAAGCCTCCCATGATAAGACCGTAGCTTTACTGGCTTCTCTGATCGCATTAAGACCCTAGCGAATAAGAGTCGGCACGGAAGCTGAAGAGTTTGTGGCCCTAACAGTATTTTTACTGGAACTATCGTCACTGCGCAACCAGCGCGTATTGCCTCACCCTACCAATTCAGCTTCATCTGCAAGGTAGAATACTGTACAGAAGTAGAGAAAAGTATGGTAACGAGGAAATATTCCAATTACAATGCCCTTTTACCAACCACCCATTCACTCTCTACCCCTAGCTTCTAATCCAGAAGAATCGACGATTGAAATAGGGTCGGCAGAAAAGGTCAGCACCATATTTACACCATACAGCAATTCAAGATAGACAACCCCCTGGACAGTAATTTATGACGAATACCTAACCGTGTCTATAAGCTTGTTGAAAAGAGTTTCCAAGTGAAATTGATTTATTCATGGAGCAGATAACCTGATACTATGGTAATTAGGTGGAGCAGATTTTTAATCAATATATCCAACACTTATATTCAATCAATATATCCAACACCTACTAAATTGACAAACCTACCTAGTCCACTTGTCGAACCAGTGATGAGCACGATTTTGCCCTCCATATCGCGTGAACGACTGGAGGTCATCCTTGAAGCACTCGAATTCAGGTTATGATCACAGACAAAGAACAGATAAAACAATGTCCCAATAGGTTTGGAATTTTGCAAACTATTTGACGTGATAGCGGATTTTTTATTCTCTAGCATTATTCACATAAAATATCACTAATATAGGTAAAATTCACTAGTGAAAGTTCCATACTCGACTATAGACCCGTAAAATAAAATATACAGACGGTGAGCTGAAACAAAAGGGCTAGTATGATGATGTGATTTTCGAGGATAATGTAACCACACGTATTCAGCAAGAACAAAGACTAGCAAAAATTTCCACACAAGGCTCACAAAAATACACTAATATACATAGAACCACAAAGATGAAATTTTACATCAACAGGTACAAAACCTGATTCGGAGAGCTTGCAGAGAACACTAACTGATTGAAAGCGACAAATGGATCTTTACTGTTACCAGGAAACGGGCTAAGCTCGCATCGAATTTCGAAGACACAACGTGAGTCCTTCTTGGACTACATCACCTTCAACGATCTATCCATCACTAAAATACCGGATTCACAAAATGAGGAGAAATAAAACATCTGAACAGGTTTGAATACAATCCATCTGACCCAGGCTCTTGGATCTCAATGAATACATATGCTTTTGAGAAGTCACAAATATCTTCATTATTCAAGGGGCCAAAATATTGCGAACAGCTTGAGAATCCACTCAATCCACTTTCTCTAGCGCTGAGAATCAAGCCAACCTTGACAAATGCATTGCACCTGTTATTTTTACTCTTTACTCCTTTACCATACCCTACAACCTAGGAATAAGAAAATGATTACTTAGCTTCCTAGATGACATTATCAACAGAGCACACTGTTTTTGGTGATTTACAGAGAAATTTCATCAACTTTAGGTACCACAATCACGTTA